TTGGACTAACAGAGGCACAGGCTTCCATCCTTCTACCAAGAATTGAAGAAGTACCACCTGCAGCACCACTTTGCCGATTACGAAAACGGCTTCGGTGTCACCAGCCGCTTCTGGGATCGCGTCTTCAACACGGAACTCCCCCCACCCAAGGTCATTAAGACAACCTAGGACATTCCTCACGCAACCATGTCGAGCATTAGGATTGGCGTTATGAGCGGGTCATGTTGGGTTTCAATTTTTCTGGCTGGTCGGATCCTATGATTACTTTTTCTTCTTGTCTTTCTTCTTAGAAGCGCTGGTATCAGCGCCTCCACCGAGCATGCCCGGGGGCATTCCTGGCATTCCCGGGAGTCCTCCTTGGCCTTGCATTTCGGCCATCATATCCTTGAAATAGTTTTCGTTGACGCCTCCTCCACTCAGAGCTGGCGAATGTAATGGTAATATGGAGCCCACTTTCCATCCCTTGGGGACAGCCGGAGGCGGAATGGGGTTCGTTGGCGGGGGCATACCGGCGATGCGCAGCCGCGAAGCTGATTCCTGAGTGGTGGGGTGAGCACGCAAATGTTTGGCTACGAGAGTGTAGAGTTGGTGCTCTGTAAATTAATTAGTACGCCTGCACAAAATATAATGAGAAGGATAGCAGTGATAATCAACAGACTTACTGTTCTTGATAGCACCAGGACCAACGGGCTTCCCATTCTCCTTGATCAAAAAGCGCACGCGACCAGGGTTTGCCCAGTCCTTGGGGTGGACCTTTCCTGGCTCGAAGACAACCTGTCCTGCCACGCCCAGTTGCGAGACAGCTTGAGCGATGTCCTGGGCCAGAGGATTTGGCACAGCTTGATCCTTTCCCACTCTTCTTCCCTCTGCTCGTGAGCGCGTAGAGTCGAAATAGACGGGGTAGAGGCATTGGTAGTGCTTGGTGCGCTCGAGGTCGGCAGCTTGGGAGGCGGGCGGACGACCAGGGAATTGCGGTCGGAGCATGGAATCAGATTGCATTGACTGCATAGAATTAATTTGGTCCGGTGTCGAGGTCGAGGGTACGTTGGCGGGGTTGATGATTGACTGCATTATGTCTTTGGGGTCGAAGTCGTCAATGTCCATCTCTGGCGGGTCCGAGTCGTTGTCGCTGTCCGACACCTCTTCTATCCTTGCATTTCGAGACATGGTGAGTGTGAAGGTATGGCGAGTATGGTTGGTTGGTCGAGTGGCTTGTGTAAGAAAAGTAAGGTACCTAAGGTGGTGACAGGACAGCTTGATTCACAGGCAGCGGAGAGGAGCGAGGGACCACGATGCGGCGGCGTCGGAGCTGAGGTATAATCTTGGCGCATGTCCGGGCACACCTCACCGTGCAGTGGTGGACCTCCCGTCCCGTCAGCAACGAGCGCCGAGCGGAAAGTCGGGCAACGGAGACGGGCTGTTCTTGCTGGCTTCAGCCTAACATTGGATGATATAACTGGCACGCACGCACGCACGCCTGGTGATCTCGACGTTCACAGAGCAATAATCAATCATTATTTCTTCAGCAGTCCGACGCCATCCATCTTCGTATCATCACTCTTCCTTATTCCTTTCATTTTAAGGTACCTTAGGCACTGTCTCTTGTTCGCGCCAAGTCCGCTGCAGCCGGGTCATCACGACCTCTTCACGTACAGGTCAGCCATGCGACCACAACCGTCTTCCTTTAGCCTGCCGACGGCTTTATTATTACTCCTGCCGACCCTCGTATCAGCTGTCACTCTTGACTGCAAACATCTTCGCATCGATGGCCAGTCCTTTGATTTCAGTGAACTGGGAGGCCCGCATTCGGTGCACCTGATTGAAGATACCCCGCCGAGTATTACAAATACCACCTTCACTCTTGATATATGTAACCCTCTACAACGGACCAAAGGCGTGCCCAAGGAGAACGAGTGCCCTAGTGGTACTAGAGGTACGTCGAACATGGCCTCTTCTTGTCGTCATACTCCGTCTGACATTTGTTCCCGCAGTATGTGGCATTGAAACCGATTACAACCTCGCCGACAACAGCAGCACCATCAAAAAAGTCATTCCCATTGCTGGAGAATACACAAGCTCCCATGGCCGTCCGCTCGATCCCAACTTGACCCGCTTAAAGAACTCGCCTTCACATGGCGATGCCGAGCGGGAAGGCGTGCGCGTCGAGTTGAATGGAGGAAGGTATCCTCTTGGCCAGTCCAGTGGACGCCAGCAAAAAGCAATCATTGAGTTCATTTGCGATCCCGACAGGACGGGCTTGGAGGACGTTGAGGGTGACTCGCGAGAAAAGATTGGCGACGACGAGTCTGAGCAACGTAGCATTACCCGTGCCGAAGACGGGGAGAAGGAGAGTGACGGGGAAAATGGAGCTGAGGGCGACAAGGACGGTGAAAGCCCTGAGAAGCCCGAGCCTCCATTGAAGCTCATCAGCTATAAGCCTGAGGGAGATGCCGACCGACAGCTCGACGTCCTGAGACTCGAATGGAAGACCAAGTATGCTTGCGAGGGCAAGACCGGACAAAAGCCCTCCCCGAGCAAATCTAGCCACTGGGGCTTCTTTACTTGGTTCCTCATCATGTGAGTTGTCCGTCGTTGACTTGACTATCTACCAATCCGACTGACCACGAACACAGTGTGTTCATGCTTGTCGCCTCCTATCTCATATTTGGCTCATGGCTCAACTACAACCGCTACGGCGCACGTGGCTGGGATCTTCTTCCACATGGAGACACCATTAGAGACCTGCCTTATGCCGTCAAGGACTGGGCCAAGTCGTTCATTGGCTCAATACGGGGCCAAGGCTCACGGGGGGGTTACAGCGCAGTCTGACCAACCATACTTCAAACCCGAGGGCCTGACTGCTTCTTGTAACCATACCAGCTTGTGTACAACTTGGCGTAATATTTAGATAGCTGATAGCATCACTCTTCATACAGCTCATGTTCTGTGAAACTCGTACTGACCCAGCTTTGGGAAGTTTCCAACGCACTCATGACGAGCGACCCTTGTCTCCTGCATCCCACGTGCCATGCTGGTACCCTGTTCTCTCGTTATCTTACCATCGCGACCAATAGTCATGCAGTGATTATTTAGAGTTGCCAAGAAATCATCTGTGCAGCCATGTCGCTCCGCGGGGCGGGAACGCTAAACCGGGTTTGCTGTTTCGATGTCATCGCCGTGTCCGGCACATGTTCTCGATCGCGGCCACTCCCTTCCAACTTTTCCTACCACAGCAGCCGTCTTGCTGTCTTGTCGTCTTGCTTGCTAGAAGATCGATCAGCGTATACGAGCACTGTCAACCCTTACTCTGAGATTTGCTTTCTCATCACACTCTTGCCGCATCACGTCGCGGAGAATGGCGCTGCCCTTGGATATACCAACAAACGCGAGCAAGATCGCCCACCCCCCGCATCCTTATTACCCCCTTGAGGTCGAGATCACCGGCTATCTGGCAAACGAATGGAGTGTGCCCGCTCTCCTTGGTGCCTTTGCAAGCGGTTGTGCTGTCATCTTCGGAGTAACTTATCTGATCATCAAACGGGTTCAGCCTCGTATGCCCGTTAATGAAGTCTTTACTGTCATGTGGTTTGTCCTGAGTAAGTCCTTCCATTGTCGATCGCATCAAGATCTCTCGCTGACGAGGCATGAAGGCGGATCTATACACCTGTTTTTCGAAGGTGAATCGAATTCTATTTCTATTCAGGCAGAGTGCCGCGCACTCAGTGACTTGATTATATTGATGCCCTGCAGGTTACTACGCTCTGAACCAGTCACGAATGGGTGAACTTCAAACTCTTTTCGGTCAGCTGTGGAAAGAATACGCGCTATCGGATTCGCGCTACCTCACGCAGAATGCCTTTGTTCTCTGCATGGAATCCTTGACTGCGGTTAGTATCATGCATCTATCTATCCCACGCCGAAGGAAGCCTTTTTCTGACAAACGAACAGATCTGCTGGGGTCCTCTGTCATTTGTTGTGGCCGCAATGATCACCACTCAACACCCTCTTCGACACCCTCTTCAGGCCATGGTCTCTCTCGGACAGTTCTACGGTGACGTGCTGTACTATGCTACGAGCATGTTTGATCATTACTACATGGGAGTTTCCTACTCCAGGCCCGAGGCATACTACTTCTGGGGCTACTATTTCTTGATGAATTTCTTTTGGATCGTCATCCCTGGCTGTGAGTGGCAACCTTCCTCCTGTAGTTTGTCCTTGATTGCTGACGTCGTCTTAGTGCTCTTGTTTAATAGTGTCAAAGCCTCTGGGGATGCATTCAGACAGGTGCAGAAGCTCAACGGGTCCAAGAAGCAGTCGTAAAGGCGATTGTGTTAATCTCAATTGGAAAGTGCCTTCCAGAAGGCTGTCAGATTGTCCACAGCGAGGTTTCGCGCCGAGCATGAGGTTTGTTCACTACTCTGTTGATGCAATTACAGGCATGAGAACAGTGGAAGGCAGCGAGTCCAGGCCTTGAGAGTGGGGTTTGCAAATTGTCCCAATGTATGTGTTCCGGCGTTCGTGATGGGGATCACTCGAGCGAATCATGAGCCGCGTGGCGTGTTTGGTCTTTATACCCATATTGGCCAGTGTCCTTTGTGCGTTGAATTCAAGAGTCAGATGGAGCATTCAATCTTGCCATCATGTCAATGGAAGATAAGGACTCGATATATCAGTTGTGTGTCTAGCATGAACACGACGTGATACAATCACTGACCCAAGAAGTCGTCAAAAGATTCATGGTGATGTATTCGTTTCATATAAAGGACATGGTGACAAGACAGTGGGACAATATTACCTAATGGACATGAAGACAAACAGAAGATGTCACGGGAGCACGAGCCGTGCCGGCACCCGTACCCCATACTTTCGGCTGATCAGCAAAGCCAAAATTAGGTATGCAAGATCTCGAGCTGAGGTGTCTGTCACTAATAGATTGCCTAAGCTAAGGTACCTTGGTTGAACAAACAGAAAAAAAAAAGGAAAAATAAGATACATTCATGAGCCCCACGCAAGGCTCGAACTTGCAACCTTATGATGACACGAGAATCGTAGAAGTCATATGCGCTACCGATTACGCCAGCAGGGCTATCCATAAACTGCGGACTGTCTTGTGTTGTATACAATGATTCAGCAATGCATCTCAACCGTCAAAGAAGGGTCCAACGTTGAGAAAACTTGCCAGTCGTGCCCAAAGGGCAATGCCACAACACTCAGCCCACAAACGCCGACCCAATGCACAGAGGGGAACAAGTTCTGCAAAGTGAACGCTTGAACGCAGAAATGCAACGCTCAAAATTCTAGTTATACTGTGACCTGCCGTCTCTTTACCGACCACCGTTGAGTCTTGCTGTTGTCCTATTCGGCATGGAATCCCGTATGGGTCTCGCTCTTCTCTCTTACCCTGTGGACGCATTAGCTGCCAGCTACTCAGGTTCGGAAGGAGTAGAAGCATACGAGTACTGCCGCACAAGTGTGCCCTCACCGCCCTTGTCAAGATCAATGTTGTAAACCAGAAAATCGCCCTCGCTCGTAGCAACCATGACCTGCGGTGCACCTTGTGCCATTGCCACGACGCTCTTGACTGTATTGCCATTCCTGGCTTTGGGCACCTTGACCCAAGCGAAGTCTCGCGCGGGCTCCCAGATCTCCGTTACTGCCGAGGGAAGATAGCCTGCGGCACGAGAGACAAACGAAGTGCTGACGTTTTGAGAAGTGCGTCTGACCATGGACATGAAGCTAGGATTTAGCGGGCGTTCGGCGGAGTTTACGTCTAGATTCGAGGTTGAGGAAGGGTCTATGGAGGATGAGGGGCTGACGCTACGGTCGTGTATATTGTTCGGAGGATCGAGGTGTGGTGATGAGGGGCCCGAGTTGGAGTCGGATCCGGGAAGTGGATCACCGAGACGGAAGATGTGAATCGTCTCGGTTGCGCTTGAAACACAGAGGAGGGTGCTCGTGGCATTGAAGGACATGCAATGTATCCTAGCAGGCATGCTGCCTCGACGAAACTGGTAAAGTTTGCGTGCGGAGGGTATTTCGAAGATTCGAATGACTGTGCCTTTCTCTGAAGCAGTGGCAAGAAGAGTGCCATCCTTGTTCATGGCTATGCAAGACAAGGGAGCCTGATGTGCGGGAATGACTTTGATCTCCTGCATTTCATTCGCATCAAAGAGCATAACGTCACCGCCCATGGGCTCAGTATTGCGTTGGCCATTGGGTGGGACATGACCTGGTGCAGCATGTTGTAGATAGTCCTTCTTGCGCATGGGATATGCAATGTAGTTGTTCTCCGAATTAGCAGAGAGAGCGCAGAGTGCTAAAGCATGTCAGTGAATGATGCGACTCGGAGATGCTAGCACGCCTCACCGTATGGATTGGAGGGAGTGACGATCTGGTGGAGGCTCCTCATCGAGGACATGTCGTAGATGAAGATCAAGTCCTCAGTGACAACGAGTAAGCGGGAGCGGTTCAGCCTCAGGGCGCCAATCCTGGTGGGAAAGGTGAGTTCGCATATTGTCGCTTGTCGTTTTGTGTTGACTATGCGCAAAAGGCGTGGTGATAGGACTAGGGCGACAAGGGAGGTGGAAAAGAGCATCTCCAGGATCGAGACATCGCCGGACGAGCCATTTTCGGTATGCGGCGTCTGAAAATAGAGAGCGAAAGGGTCAGTCGTGTATGTGCGGATGCCATCAGTGGTGCCTAAGAGAGTGAGAGTCAGCTCGGCAGCTGAGTGTGTCGAGGGGCGTGCGCATACCGACAGCCAAGTAGCTGTTGTCCTGGTTAAAAGTAATGTAGTTGAGCGCCATGTTGGACGCGTTATGGACGGGCGAGCGGGTCGGAAGGGGAGCAAAGTCACGGTCAAGATGCTACCTCAGTTGCGCAGAACACATTATGGAGTTGCGTGGAAGAATACTACGAGTAAAGCCGACGATGGAAGTGCGCGTGTTGTCTCATCGGGCAGCTTGCAAGGTGCAGCTATGACTCTACTCGTAGGTCTGTGAGAGTGTCCAAGTGCACACGGCACGGCATCATCTCCACACGCAGGTTGTAGCTCAGATAAGGTAGCTTATCCTCGGCACATGCCTAATCGACAACCTTACAAAGCTACCTTATGGTAAACCCGTTGCTAAAGTGCTCAGGCACCAACCTAAGGTAAGCCCACGGCCGCATGCCCTAGGTACGTACCATACCAAGCATTCGAGTATTTGAAATACCTTAGCTTAGGTAGGTAGCTTGGCGACTGGCAGTCTCGGCGCAGATAAAGTGCCCTTTCCCACGACAGCCTCTGGTGCAATGGACGGGACCTTAACTTAGAATTGCAAGGTAATACTTGTAGGTGTTTTGGTGTGAGTTGTGCTCGCCGTGTGGCGCCAAGGTAGTGGCTACCTTAGCTAGGTACCTACCTTAAGGTACGTACCTTAGTCCGGCAAGGGTCGCTTGATTGGCGTTTAGCGCCTCGGGCGTTTTCTTGCATACGGTACACTCGACCCTTTTCCATCCTCTCAAAAGACTCAGCCCTAGTGACAATCCGAGGATTAGGGCTGCACTGTCTCTTCCATCGCGGCGAATATTACGAGATCATGTCAGGTGAGTCCACCGTCCACACAGCCTACTGTCCGATGCCTTGTGCATCCGCGCCACACCGCCAACTGGCCTCTTGGAAGCAGCCGAGGCTGAATTTCTGTCGTCTTGTATCCAGGCCATGACTCGATTCCTTCTCCCAACCTACGATACCCTGGCACCGTCCGCGGTACGCCAGGACATGACGGCTTCGACCTCAACACATCCAAGAGGCGGAGGGAAGGCGCGCAGTGGGAAGGCAACACGAAGCGTGCGCGACGCGAAGACTTCGACCAGCCAGATGCTGCCGCTGCTGCTGCTGCTACCACCAGCCAGTACAGCTCTCCCAACACCAACAGCCTCTACGACCCCCAACTGAGCGCACACCAATTTCAGACCACCCAGCAATCACTTTCCCATTCGACCAAGACGTCAACTCCATACCCACAGCAGCCCGTCGCCTTTGCCAATGCCGCCTCGTCACTCCCTCCACACAATCTCGACCCTGCCATCACCACTTATCCTCCCCCTCCTGCGCAACATCAATTCCGGGACCAGGATCAACCCTTTGCGGCCTACCCAGTCGCCCAGGCACAGACGCACTTCATGAACCCCTGGACCATGTCACAACACGCGCCCGATCGCCCATACCAAGCTTCGTCCGACAACAACTATCAGCCAAGCAATGATTACGCGTCCAACTCGATGCCAAGCCAACAACCATACAATGCCAGCATATCCGCCCAGGAGTGGACCCAACCCTCGTACAACTACACTGGCGGAACCGATCACTGGAACTATCAGATCGATGAGCCGACCGTCTATGGCGAAGATGCGAGCCTCCACCTCAAGCTTCAGAGCATTCCCACCTTGGACAATCTGTCGACCCAAATCATCATGAACCTCGCCAAGCCATCGCTGCCTGATATACTGTTGCTCACCACAGGTAGGAATTACGAGGAGAGTCAGGCATATTTCACCCGTCGAAACCTGTTCGATCAGACGCGAAAGGTCTTCACTCGCATTTCCGTCTTCATCGATCTCCACGCCTGCTCACACATGTTTTCTGCTTCGCAGCAGGAAGTCCTACGCAAGGCCAATCGCGCCACCTTCATCTCCAGCATTCTTGAAGGCAACGACATTAGTTTCTACGATCTTGACTCCCTGTTCTTGGACACGTTCGTTCCCACCGGCCAACGTTTGCTCAAATGGCAGGGTACCGTCTTCCTGGAGTTGAAGACACAGGCCTACATCGCTGCACTGATGAACAATGATGGCCCTGCCGAAGTACTGCTCAACGAGCTCTTCCCCAACGATCTCGACCAACGCATTCTGGCTCGCCACCCTGACGCAGCCAACATAACCCCCAGCGAGCAGGACTTCTTGGACAGAGCGAGAAGCCGCAAACAGTACCTGTTGAGTGAGCCTCCTTATGAAGCCCTGCACAGCCTGCGCTCCAAATACGGATGGCAAGACTTCCTGCGCGAATTCGCCAGCTGCGTCCATAAGAACGTCGAGGCCATAATGAACAACCCAGTGAGCCATCTGCTCTGTCTACATTTATCCTCTAATCCTAATCATCGCACCAGGCCCGTACACCTTCGAGTGTGGGCTTCTCACCCCGAGTCCCACGCCTCTCTCAGTCCCCAGCGACACGCCATCCATATTACAGCCCACATGTCGCCCAACAGTGCCGTCAGTCTAACGAGCATTCGGGCTCCATTCCCCCACAGCCGCTACAAGCCCCACCTACCCACTACCAGCTCCAAAATCTGCAGCAGCACGACGCTCGGGCAACCACTTCTGCCTCTGCCACGCCTGATCCTGCAGAGCGACTGGCATCGCCCCATCCCAAGGCTAAGCCTGGCAAATCAGCAAAGACCACCGGAGGCACGGGCACGCCGCGTCAGCCTTGGAGACAGGAAGAAGAGGATGCCCTCTTGGCTGGTCTTGCCGAGGTTAAAGGACCGCATTGGTGAGTTCAGTACTAACGGACCAAGGTTGTGCCTCTTCGACTAACTCGATCCCAGGTCGCAGATCCTTAGCCTCTACGGCCGTGGCGGTAGCGTAAGTGAAGTTCTCAAGGACCGCAATCAAATCCAGCTCAAAGACAAGGCCCGCAATCTCAAACTTTGGTATCTGAAAATGGGTAACGAAGTCCCCCAGTGTCTGCGCGGTGTGACGGGTGAACTGCGTAAAAGAGGTGGAGCTAGGGTGAGGGCTGCTTTGGGTCTCACTGACGATGACGACGGTCCCCCAAAGAAGAGCCAAAAGGCATCGCCGCTTGGTAAAACTGGTGGTGCTAATCAAGGAGGACCCTCGCACCAGAGTGGAGGGCCCCAGATCGATCCCTCACTCGGCAAGTAACGAAGCGCACGAGGCTTAGAGGTGAATAATAATTGTACATTTACATGTAATATAGCTCTTTCTGTTGATACCCCGGCTATTGGCATCAAGCATACGGTTCCATCGCGTCTGCTCACCTGGTTTGCCTGCGGGTTTGAATATTAGAAGACTGCGGTTCAA